GTTATGGAAAATTGGGTTAAGTTTGATTGTATATAGTGAATCACATCTCTTTCTGAAAAATATGATATAAAATGGAGATCAGATTCAGGTATATAAGGTTAAGTTGAAGTGATGTGGAGAAAATGCCCATTAGTTACACATTTACCCAGGTAATAGAGGTAAGGGTGGGATGGGTTGGTTGTACTATGAGAAAAACAATAAAAAAAACAAAACATGGCTAAGAATAAGTTGCAACATTCCACCAAGATGCTGGTATTTGAGGCTATGTCCAGGGCAGTTGGACTGATTCACAAACACTTTCCTCCCCAAAAATACGATACATTTGAATTTAGGTAAAGGGAGGTTAGGTGCAGGGTGGTTGACATGATGAGTAAAAACAAACACTTACCCAACAATAAAGCTACAATATTGAACATAAATCTAAGCTGGTTATGCACAAGGCAGTTAGGTTTATACCCAAAAATCAACCCTGTCTTAACAATGACGTTGCAATATTCAACAAAGATTCAGGCAAGTTCGGTACGGGGCTGTTACGTTTATATTCAAATCGACACTTTTGTCAGCATGTGTCGTATGAGAGGTTAGGTCTCAAGTTGTTGTGATAATATGAGTAAAAATACCCAGTAACCATAACACACTTCTAAGATTATATTCGCAAAAAATCAGCTGTAGCGAGACGGAGGAGCATTAGAGTCTGACAGAGGAGAAAACACAAGTAAATAACATAGCAATTGAGAAACAAAACCACAAAATAATGTTTACAAAATTATATGATTTCAGAAAAGAACTGGATGGATACCGAGTTGGAGATAAGGATGTAGATGCCTATAACTTGTCAGGCAATATGCGAGACGTGGGGGGTGGGAGTGGTGGGGGGTGGGGGAGGTGGGGGCGGTGGGAGAGGTGGGGGCGGTGGGAGAGGTGGGGGCGGTGGGAGAGGTGGGGGCGGGTGGGGGCGGTGGGAGAGGTGGGGGCGGTGGGAGAGGTGGGGGCGGTGGGAGAGGTGGGGGCGGTGGGAGAGGTGGGGGCGGTGGGAGAGGTGGGGGCGGTGGGAGAGGTGGGGGCGGTGGGAGAGGTGGGGGCGGTGGGAGAGGTGGGGGGTGGGAGACGTGGGGGGTGGTGGTGTTTCTGACTGACTGTTGAAGAATAAGCCAGCCAAGAGGTGGCAGGGGTATGAGTAGCCCGTAATACACGAGTGATTGTGGCCCGGTATAAACTCCGCCTCGCAGAAACTAATTTACGGGTTACTCATGCCCGTGTCATTTCTTGGGTGGCTTAATCGTCATCAATGATAGCTTCTACAATTTACTCTATTATGTTGGTGTGAGGTGCAAGACAAGGATTACGAGGTTGGTGCCTTGAAGGGATGCAAGAGAGTGAAGGAGTAGGTGCTCACACTTGTGCCTGATGGCGGCGGTGAGGAGGCTGTGGCGAGCCCTGAGCGTCGTGGGCGTGTGTACAGAGGCTGAGGCCACGCCCATATACTCGTACCCATAATCCAGTGTGTCGACGCCCACAGCCACCTGCACGCCCGCACTCCGGCCCTCGCCTGTCACCTGGTGGCGCAGGTGTTGCAGCCACGAGTACGACCATCTGCGGAAAACATCTGTTTAACACACCTGTTTACTCAAATTTGCACATAATTTACTCTGTATTTCACAGATTCTAAACCACATACGAACACGGGAATAGAGGAAACTGCATTAGGTCTATTAGCCCATTTGAGCAGCTTCAATTATGGCTAGTAAACCCATTCATAAATTGTCTAGCCTCTGAGACTCTGACCAGCCCAGCGATCCTTCGTCCATTATGTAACTTGGCTCAATAATTCAACAACCTTATTTCTAATCCAGTATTTACATAGAACTTTCCGGTTTCGCTGTTCCTCCGTTTATAGTGAACAGTTGGCCTTATATGCGGACGCTCGTCCTGACATCAGCCAACCGCCAGTCACTATAAACCGTGTAAAGTGGGAGGTTGTCAGTATAGACCTTGTATAGTGGGAGGTTGTCAGTATAAACCGTGTATAGTGGGAGGTTGTCAGTATAAACCGTGTATAGTGGGAGGTTGTCAGTATAAACCGTGTATAGTGGGAGGTTGTCAGTATAAACCGTGTATAGTGGGAGGTTGTCAGTATAAACCGTGTATAGTGGGAGGTTGTCAGTATAAACCGTGTTTAGTGGGAGGTTGTCACTATAAACCGTGTATAGTGGGAGGTTGTCAGTATAAACCGTGTATAGTGGGAGGTTGTCAGTATAAACCGTGTATAGTGGGAGGTTGTCAGTATGTAACATCGGTCGATGTCGTTGTAGAATGATTAGGTTGTGGGCAGAAATTGGAGTACCAAACGTCCACTGCTTTTCTTAGTTTTATTATAAATATATATATATATATTTTTATCTTCTACACGGGCCACGAACTAGCTTGTAGAGTGTGTAAGGGAGCGCGTGTAGACGCTCTGATGCCCGGGGTGTGTCTGAGGTCTGTGGTCTGCAGCAGAGTAGATTGCATTCAAATCTGCTGACACGTTGTTGATACTTATTAAGTTGTTTAGCTTAAGAGGGTATTAGGTCACCCTATGTGTATGTCCATGGGCGACTAACTGGCGTCCAACACCGCTCGGCACGCTATCATCGGCGTCCTCGGCGATCTGCTTGAAAAATTTGAAAACCCTTGGGCGTGTACCTAACTAACGTTACATACAGTGATTTACCTATAGTGGCCGTAAACAAACAAGTTTTGAGACGTCCAACACCGTCTCGGACATGCATGAATAATGAGTACAATGCTTAAATATAATCCTTAAACTAAGCTATCCATGGAGCATCATGACTAACTAGCTAAATGTCTGCACAACTGGAGGCAGGAGGTCCGGCTGCAGGTAGAGGCGGTAGCGGTAGTCAGCGGACCAGAAGTTGCGCGTAAGAATTCATGATGCTCAGCCACAGTGTTACCTGTTAAGTAGATTATAAACGGCAGACACTAACGTAGGCACAATATATTACATGGCAATACATAGAATAAGCGACATTTCCACTAAAATATGGAGAGCATGAACGTGGCAGGAACACTAGGACCTACATAGTGTATAGAGACACGACAAGATCAATAAACTACGAACGAAGATACCCGAGGTGGAAGGGTCTATATACATTGAACCGAGGGGTGCGAAACGAATGTTGTAATCACTCTTAAATCTAGTCATAAAACTATGAATTCTCAGGTGCTAGTCCATCACGAACGTAGTCTCCCACTGCCATGTATGAACAAGCAGGGAGAGGGGAGCAGATAGAACGCATCCATTGTCCCTTACAGACTGGAACACCACAGTCACACGAAGAGGAATCATCAGACTGTTGGTAGTGTACTGTCGAAATAACAGGTCTGGACCGAAGATTGTATGTGTGAGTACGTGGTGGGGTAGTATCGCTGGGCATGTCTGAGACCGAAGTGGGTGTCACAGTGGTAGGGTCACACAGTACATTGTCAGGGACAGGAGTCGGGGTGTCATCTTCAACAGTCAGACGGGCTAATTTCATGTGGTTGAGATGCTCATGTACTTGTTCTCCAGTGGCTAGGTTTTCCAGCTTATACTTATTACCTGTGATATGCTCAAGAACTCTGTAAGGACCAAGAAACTTCTCAGTCAGTTTGTACATGGGACCATCTCGTCGCTGGTTGAGGATCATTACTAAAGATCCAGGTCCTATTCTCGTAGGTTTAGCACGAGCATTTTGTAACCGTGTGAAATCATCAGTAGCTTTAGAGAGATGTTCCTTGACCCTCTGGAACACCAGTTGAGTGTCTCTCCGTTTTACCTTAACATAGTCGTCATAGTTGTAGAGTGGCGCGGGCGGCGCGGAGATGATGGCATTAGGAAATCTCATGTCTGTCCCAAATAGCACAAAGTGAGGTGTGTCTCCTATGGAGGAGTTGACAGAGGAGTTTATCGAACATTGGACGATTGGCATAAGTTCATCCCATTTGTGACTGTCCCGATTGACTGTCACTGAGTGCGTCAAGGACCTTCTTGTTAGTTCTTTCAGCAAGGCCATTGCTAGCCGGTTGATAAGGCATTATATTACACTTCTTGATGTTGTACAATGTAGCCAGTTGTTCCAGAACAGAATTGTTGAATTCCGGGCCGTTGTCAGAGAGTATAACTCTGGGTGGACCATACCTGCAAATTATATGATCATGAAAGGCACTAGCTATAGTTTCTGCAGTTTTGTTTGGAATTGGAACCAGTTCACAGTATCTAGAGAAGTTATCTACCATAACTAGGAGATGTTTATTTCCTCTGGAGGTTTCAGCAAAATTCGTTAACAAATCCATAGAAACACGATCCCAAGGTGCATTAGTCATAGGGTAAGTCTGAATCGGGTTCGGGCCAGCAACATGGCCTCTGTGAGCTAGGCAGGTTAGACATTGATCCACGTGACGTTCAATCTGTTTGGCCATTTTGGGCCAGTAGTACGTAAGACGAGCCTGCTTGATGGTGCGGTCCTTGCCAGGATGCGCACTGTGTGGGGCGTCGTGAACAAGTTTTAACACGGTAGGAACTATCGACGCAGGAATAACAAGTTGATGTACCAGTCTGGCAGGAGATCCAAGCACAACCTTGCAATGGAGCACATGATCTAAGAGTACTAGTTCCTTGAGTGGTACGGGTGGCTTGACGGTAAGAGTCGTGTGCGGGTCCATGAGAAAGCTTATGATCGGTGCCCACATTGGGTCTTGACGTTGTGCGAGTTCTACATCTCGCAAGTCTAATGAAGGGTATTCAACGTGAACGGGAGCGACGTAACGTGAGAGAGCATCGGCAACTACATTGTGTTTGCCAGGTAAGTATCCAAACGTGGGTAGGAACTCTTGTATGGTGAGCGACCAACGGGCAAACTTGCCTATGGGGTTCTTGTCTCTGAACAAGGGAATGATAGCTTGGTGGTCCGTCAGTACATGGACAGGGTAGTTATAGATGATATCTCTGAAATGTTTGAGTGCCCATACGACAGCCAACGCTTCGCGCTCGGTTGTCGAATAATTCTTTTCAGCTTTAGAGAGGACTCGGCTCGCATATGCAATGGCATGTTCTTTTCTGTCACTAGTTTGAGCGAGTACGGCCCCTAACCCAATGTTACTGGCGTCAGTAACTAAAATGAACGGTTTGGTGAAGTCTGGGAATTTGAGAACAGGAGAAGATATCAGGGCTTCTTTGAGCGTTTGAAATGCTTTCTCTTGATCAGTTGTCCAAACGAACAGAACGTCCTTCTTAAGGAGGTAAGTGAGAGGAGATGCAATCACTGAATAACCGGCAATGAAATGGCGGTAAAATCCAGCTAGGCCTACGAACTTTTGTACTGCTTCAGCATTATGAGGGACTGGAAAGTTCTTGACAGCTTCTATCTTTGAATCTAGAGTGGTGATGCCTTGCGAGGTGACGTTATGGCCGAGAAACTGTATTTTTTCTCTCATGAAGGCGCATTTGCTAAGTTTGATTTTCAGATTGGCTTCAGCTAGTTTCTGAAGGACTCGGTCCAAACTTTGAAGATGTGAGGGTACATCCTTGGACATGATAATGAGGTCATCGAGGTAGACCATGAGGGTATTCCCTATCATTCGTCGGAACAGGTCTGTCATAAGCCTTGAGAAGGTAATAGGGCTGCTGCGTAAGCCAAAAGGCATGCGGGTGTACTGGTAATGACCATTAGGGACGGAAAACGCCGTCAGTTCTCGACTTTCTGGGTCGAGCGGTATCTGCCAAAATCCTTGCAATAAATCAAGTGTGGAAAAAACCTTATTCTGACCAATGTTCTGCAATAAGTCAGTAAGCACGGGAAGTGGAAATCGATCAGGAATCGTAACTTGATTAAGTTTCCTGAAATCAACGACAGGACGCCAAGAGCCATCCTTCTTGGGTACTAAGATTAACGGAGCATTCCATGGTGAAGTACTTTCTTCAATAACGCCGTCATGTAACATCTCGTCAATGAGTCGGTCTGCAACAGCTCGTTGAGAATGAGGCAATCTGTACGCGGGTACAAAAATTGGGCGAGTACCTGGTTCCAGTGGAATTTTGTGAGAAATGAGGTGTGTCAATCCAAGTTGTTCACCTGTCAGTGCAACAACGTTGCGATGCTTGTTGAGGATGGTCAGTAACTGAGATTGGGCGTCAGGGAAGTCAGTGGCGCTAAGATGCACAGGTGAGATCGCGATCAGATCTCGATTTGTTGTGTGAGTGAGTGCATGTACTATTTGGTCAGTAGAGACCTCATCCACTACTCGCACCGGTAACGAATAATGGGCAAAGTCAACAATGTGTGTGCCTGATGCAAGGTGAATGTTGGCATTGGTGACGTTGGCAACATAAACAGCAGTAGTGTTATTCTGCACCTGATGTAAGGACGGTTCTATGTAGGTACCATTGATTTGACATGTGTCACTGTCAGCTATTACGTGTTCTAGGTCAGATACACCAGGTATTTTGACAATAACCTTTGTTAGTGCATGAGAATGTAAGACTGTGTCTTGGTGTAAGATGCCTCTGACCTGACTGATGTTAGACTCCAGGCAAGTAAGGTAATGAACAATCGCTGGGGCCCCTTGCAAAGATTCATTGACCTCACCGACCTGCGAGACTGTGGAAACGTGCGTTGGTCTGGTGTCAGTAAGTGACTGAGTGACGGGTTTGTTTGGGCGTGACTGGTTAAGTGTACCCTGGTCTCCCCTGGTTTGTATGTACCTGACATAGTCCCAATGGTTGGTGAACTCATGTCCCATGGTGTACACACTGCAAAGAGGTACCACTGTATCACCAATTGTTGCTTCCCAACGGTAAGCATCGATAGTAACTCGGTAGTCTCTCATGGTGTTTAATCCGAGTAGGATGTCTCCAGGGAATCGTACTGCACCGGCTATTACACATGGCACGGTGAGTGATCTGTCATTAACTATTAACTCTATGTCCGCTTCACCTAACGCTGGAGTCATTCCTCCAGTAAGTCCACCAAGGTTGGAAACAGACGACTGGCGTATATCGAGTCGATCGCGTAGGCCATGAAGGGCGTCTTGTTTAATGATGTTGATTCTAGCTCCTGTGTCTAGGAAAATCTTAATAAGTCGACCCTTCAGGGTGGCTGAAATCAGAGGACCTTCTGTGTCCTTGATAGGCATCCTGTTAAACATGTTATTACGGGACTGACACAGTCGACGTGGTGTCTGGAGTACATGTACATGAGTACCGTCAGTGTGTAGTTCGTCCATGTAATCCTCCTCTGCTAAGGCACTGTACCTGTTACAGGTAGGCACTGAGTATACAGGGAGGTCGTCTCGCTTCCCACGTCATACCGTTTACCCAGGCTGCTATACCTTCCCCCGACTGAGAGTCAAAGGGCTGACCTGTGTGTTCGTAGGTCGTGTCTGCATTATCCTTGACGGCCGTGGCGCCGTTTATCACGCGCGAGTCACGGTGTCCATCTGTGTCACGGCTGTCAGTTGTTGCGAACCTAACATGGGCAGTCGGTCGGGTCGCAGGGCTACGTGTGGGGCTCGGTCGGCGCTGGTTAGTTGTTGCAGCCTGCGGTTGCCTACGGGAAGGGGAAGTAGGACTAGAACGGTTAGCCTGGTTAGTACCGTGGCGGGCTCTACAGTCAGCAGTGTCATGTCCAGGTCGGCGGTGATATGTGCAATAAGAACGGGTGTGATCATGTGATCGGCCTGTGTAGTTATGTCTAGCATGCTGTTGGTAACGAGTGTTAGTTGATGTACACTCTGCCTTACGGTGTCCTGGTTTGCCACAGTTAAAACATTCTGGCGTTCGAGGTCGCTGAAGGTATTGAGGGGAGCCTGTTCTAGAGTATGACCTGGGGCCATACGAAGGCGGAGGAGACCTAGCACGAGTCTGAACATGTCTAGGGGTAGAACGCGTGACAACGTTCACAGTGGTATGGGAACTGTTTGCACGAAAAACGGCAGAAAGCTGGGCAGAATCCCGGGACTTTAGCCTGTCTGTGGACTCTACCATGACGTCCATTAAGTCCCAAAGTGTGTGGGTAGGACCAAAATTCCTAGCCTCAATGTCTTTCAGTATGGCCTCGGGGGCATGACTCTGCATGGCACCGAACGCCAATAGTTTACCCACATTCTGTATAGTGAGGCTTCCACTAGCGTCCCATCTAGAACCCATCAAGGCTTTCTCCAGTGAGTCCTGTAGCGTAGCTAGACGCGTGGCAAAAGCGTTGCGTGTTTCATCAGGACGCATTACCGCAGTAGCTAATTGGCGAGCAATGCCAAAGGGATCACGATCGACTACCGATATATATCTCCTACGAAAGAATTTCTTAAATTCTTCCCAGTCTACAATCTTCTTTAAGTCAGGTGTTCCTGCTACGAGATACGCATCTCCAGATTTATAGTCAAGTGTGGACGTCGCCATACTGATATAGTCTGCGTCTGTGACAGCAGTACCCTTGCTCCTCGCTCTAGCCTCTACACTAGCGAACCATGTCTCCAAGAGGGTTGGATCCTTTCCACTAAACGGGCGAATGTCAACAGACTGTGTAAGAACTGTAACGGTGTTCGAGTTAGAACCCGCTGAATTCAGGGCTTGAGTCATGATTACTGAGTCGCTGCTGGTTGTAGAGGTTAACGAGGATAAGCTACCGAGAGCTGATGTCGGAAGTTCACTGGCTAAGGATAAGTGAGCGAGCTCACTAGTTAAGAGTAAGTTACTCTCCGATAGTGAACGAGACCGTAGACTGTAGGGGTAAGTGCGCGAGCGAGGCCTGAGCGAGTATCGGTTATCCATAAAGTAAGTTTACATTGTGCCCACGAAAGTCCACAGTTTACTCTACTACACAAATAACAAAGGGTACTTAACTAGAGCTGAAGGCTGCTGGGGCTGCAATCCATTCAACAGGGCAGAGATGATCTGGTCGTCACAGATCCGGCGTCGTGCTGTGGCGTCGTGCTGCGGCGTCGTCGGCGCCGGGAGGCGGCAAGAGACGTCAGGTGCGGTAGAAGTCGTCAGGCGGCAGGAGACGTCAGGCGCGGCAGGAGTCGTCAGGCCAGACAGCGAGGGGTGGTAAGGTGACGTCAGGCAGGCACCAAGGCTCGTTGAGTCACGGTGAGTCACGGCGAGTCAGCTGGTGGCGCGCGGTGAGTCAGGCACGGGCGCGCGCTGGGTGAACGAGGCACGGGGCACGCTGGGTGAGTCAGGCACGGGCGCGCGCTGGGTGAACGAGGCACGGGGCACGCTGGGTGAGTCAGGCACGCTGAACTGTTGCGATGCTGTGCCGCTGTGCGCTGCTGCGCACTGCTGTGTTGCTGTGCTGCTGTGAGCCGCTGTGAGCTGCTGTGAGCTGCTGTGCGCTGCTGTGCGCTGCTGTGAGCTGCTGTGTTGCTGTGCTGCTGCGCTGCTGTGTGCTGCTGTGCTGCTGGAGGACAGGGGTGAATCCCACTAAGCTGCCAACCAGTGTAACATCGGTCGATGTCGTTGTAGAATGATTAGGTTGTGGGCAGGAATTGGAGTACCAAACGTCCACTGCTTTTTCTTAGTTTTATTATAAATATATATATATATCTTCTACACGGGCCACGAACTAGCTTGTAGAGTGTGTAAGGGAGCGCGTTTAGACGCTCTGATGCCCGGGGTGTGTCTGAGGTCTGTGGTCTGCAGCAGAGTAGATTGCATTCAAATCTGCTGACACGTTGTTGATACTTATTAAGTTGTTTAGCTTAAGAGGGTATTAGGTCACCCTATGTGTATGTCCATGGGCGACTAACTGGCGTCCAACAAGTATAAAGTGAGTAGATACAGGTGACCAGCAGTCGCCCTGGACGCTGGCGGTACACATGAGCACATACCAGCAGCCTCGTGTCATAATGTAACAAGGACAAGTATAAACAAATGAAGCAGTTATACCCCAGTGGCTTACAAGACGCGTAGCTACCCGCCATTACGCCTTATCAGTAAAGCAAGACAAGACCAAGAACAAAGCAAGTTAGAAATTCTGACTCGTCTAGACTAAGAGGCGTAAGGCCTAAATGGAAGAGGTCTTCACGGAGCTTAGAGATGGAGCTAAAAGAAGGTTCCGGGTCGTAGCATAGACATATGGAAGGAAGATCGTTCCTTAGTAGTCAGTACCTGGAAAATGCAAACCAATATGAAGTTCCACTAACACTCAAATAGAGTTAAGTTAAACTGACCTGGAAGAAGGGTTGTCCTTGACGAGGGCTGTGGTAGTGTCCCTGAGGTCGAGTAAGGTGACGAGGAGATAGGCTACCTGGGCAGGCGGGAGTGTTGTGGTGCGGGCCTCCCGCCTGGCCTGCGTCGTCAGCGCCTCCACCTCCTGCCTCAACCCCCACACAACCCCCTGCAGGTCAGGCTTCCTCTCCCTACACGCACCTGCCTCCAGAGCACCTGTTACCTCACCACTCCACTGGATCCGTCGGCACACCTCTACCACCTGTCAAGAATACACCCGTCTACCACCTGTCGAGAATACATACATCTACCGGGGGGGGGGGGGGGGGGGGGGGATGATGGGGGGGAAGAAAAGGGTGGGAGACGAAGAAAAGGGGGGGAAGGGAGACGGGAAGAAAAGGGGGGAAGGGAGACGGGAAGAAAAGGGGGGAAGGGAGACGGGAAGAAAAGGGGGGAAGAGAGACGGGAAGAAAAGGGGGGAAGGGAGACGGGAAGAAAAGGGGGGAAGGGAGACGGGAAGAAAAGGGGGGAAGGGAGACGGGAAGAAAAGGGGGAAGGGAGACGGGAAGAAAAGGGGGGAAGGGAGACGGGAAGAAAAGGGGGGAAGGGAGACGGGAAGAAAAGGGGGGGGGGGAAGGGAGACGGGAAGACGGGAAGAAAAGGGGGGAAGGGAGACGGGAAGAAAAGGGGGGAAGGGAGACGGGAAGAAAAGGGGGGAAGGGAGACGGGAAGAAAAGGGGGGAAGGGAGACGGGAAGAAAAGGGGGGAAGGGAGACGGGAAGAAAAGGGGGAAGGGAGACGGGAAGAAAAGGGGGGAAGGGAGACGGGAAGAAAAGGGGGGAAGGGAGACGGGAAGAAAAGGGGGGGAAGGGAGACGGGAAGAAAAGGGGGGGAAGGAAGGGAAGAAAAGGGGGGAAGGGAGACGGGAAGAAAAGGGGGGAAGGGAGACGGGAAGAAAAGGGGGGAAGGGAGACGGGAAGAAAAGGGGGAAGGGAGACGGGAAGAAAAGGGGGGAAGGGAGACGGGAAGAAAAGGGGGGAAGGGAGACGGGAAGAAAAGGGGGGGAAGGGAGACGGGAAGAAAAGGGGGGAAGGGAGACGGGAAGAAAAGGGGGAAGGGAGACGGGAAGAGGGGGGAAAGAAAAGGGGGGAGAGACGGGAAGAAAAGGGGGGGAAGACGGGAAGAAAAGGGGGGGGGAGACGGGAAGAAAAGGGGGGAGACGGGAAGAAAAGGGGGGGTGACGGGAAGAAAGGGGGGGAGACGGGAAGAAAAGGGGGGAACGGGAAGGGGGGGGGGAGACGGGAAGAAAGGGGGGGAGACGGGAAGAAAGGGGGGGGGAGACGGGAAGAAAGGGTTGACACGGGAAGAAAAGGGGGGGAGACGGGAAGAAAAGGGGGGGAGACGGGAAGGGAGACGGGAAGAAAAGGGGGAAGGGAGACGGGAAGAAAAGGGGGAAGGGAGACGGGAAGAAAAAAGGGGGGAAGGGAGACGGGAAGAAAAGGGGGGGGGAGGGACGGGGGGGGGGGAAAAGGGGGGGAGAAGGGAGACGGGAAGAAAAGGGGGGAAGGGAGACGGGAAGAAAAGGGGGGGGAAGGGATACGGGAAGAAAAGGGGGGAAGGGAGACGGGAAGAAAAGGGGGGACGGGAGGGAGACGGGAAGGGGGGGGGGAACGGGAGACGGGAAGAAAAGGGGGGAAGGGAGACGGGAAGAAAAGGGAGAAGGGAGACGGGAAGAAAAGGGGGGGAAGACGGGAAGAAAAGGGGGGGGAAGAGAGACGGGAAGAAGAAAAGGGGGGGGAGACGGAAAGAAAAGAGGGGGGAGACGGGAAGAAAAGGGGGGGGAGACGGGAAGAAAAGGGGGGGAGGACGGGGGAAAAGGGGGGGGAGACGGGAAGAAAAGGGGGGGGGGGGGAGGGACGGGAAGAAAAGGGGGGGGAGAAAAGAAAAGGGGGGGAGACGGGAAGAAACGGGAAGAAAAAAGGGGGGGGAGACGGGAAGAAAAGGGGGGGGAGACGGGAAGAAAAGGGGGGGGGACGGGAGACGGGAAGAAAAGGGGGGGGGGGAGACGGGAAGAAGAAAAGGGGGGGGAGACGGGAAGAAAAGGGGGGGGGAGACGGGAAGAAAAGGGGGGGGAACGGGAAGAAAAAGGGGGGGGAAACGGGAAGAAAAGGGGGGGGGAGACGGGAAGAAAAAGGGGGGGGGAGACGGGAAGAAAAAGGGGGGGGAGACGGGAAGAAAAAGGGGGGGGGAGACGGGAAGAAAAAGGGGGGGGAGACGGGAAGAAAAAGGGGGGGGAGACGGGAAGAAAAAGGGGGGGGAGACGGGAAGAAAAAGGGGGGGGGAGACGGGAAGAAAAAGGGGGGGGGAGACGGGAAGAAAAAGGGGGGTGGAGACGGGAAGAAAAAGGGGGGTGGAGACGGGAAGGGGGGGGGGAGACGGGAAGAAAAAGGGGGGTGGAGACGGGAAGAAAAAGGGGGGTGGAGACGGGAAGAAAAAGGGGGGTGGAGACGGGAAGAGAAAAAAGGGGGGTGGAGACGGGAAGAAAAAGGGGGGTGGAGACGGGAAGAAAAAGGGGGGTGGAGACGGGAAGAAAAAGGGGGGTGGAGACGGGAAGAAAAAGGGGGGTGGAGACGGGAAGAAAAAGGGGGGTGGAGACGGGAAGAAAAAGGGGGGTGGAGACGGGAAGAAAAAGGGGGGTGGAGACGGGAAGAAAAAGGGGGGTGGAGACGGGAAGAAAAAGGGGGGTGGAGACGGGAAGAAGACGAAGAAAAAGGGGGGTGGAGACGGGAAGAAAAAGGGGGGTGGAGACGGGAAGAAAAAGGGGGAAAAAGGGGGGTGGAGACGGGAAGAAAAAGGGGGGGGGAGACGGGAAGAAAAGGGGGGGGAGACGGGAAGAAAAGGGGGGGGAGACGGGAAGAAAAGGGGGGGGAGACGGGAAGAAAAGGGGGGGGGAGACGGGAAGAAAAGGGGGGGGAGACGGGAAGAAAAGGGGGGGGGAGACGAAGAAAAGGGGAGGGGAGACGAAGAAAAGGGGGGGGAGACGGGAAGAAAAGGGGGGGGAGACGGGAAGAAAAGGGGGGGGAGACGGGAAGAAAAGGGGGGGGAGACGGGAAGAAAAGGGGGGGGAGACGGGAAGAAAAGGGGGGGAGACGGGAAGAAAAGGGGGGGAGAGACGGGAAGAAAAGGGGGGAGAGACGGGAAGAAAAGGAGGGGGAGACGGGAAGAAAAGGGGGGGGAGACGGGAAGAAAAGGGGGGGGAGACGGGAAGAAAAGGGGGGGAGACGGGAAGAAAAGGGGGGAGAGACGGGAAGAAAAGGGGGGAGACGGGAAGAAAAGGGGGGAGAGACGGAAGAGAAAAGGGGGGAGAGACGGAAAGAAAAGGGGGGAGACGGGAAGAAAAGGGGGGAGACGGGAAGAAAAGGGGGGAGACGGGAAGAAAAGAGCGAGGAAATGGGCAAGAAAGATGAGATGGGGGGGAAGACTAGGAGACGGAGGAAAGGTGGGGAAGACCCCCCTCCCCAAATAGTAATGCAATATTTACATTTCAGTAGGAGCGAGCACATACCTGCACCGTCCTACTGTTTACTACACGTGTACAACGAGAGAGACGCACCTGTAGTGGCAGGAGGTGGGACCGCTGGAGGAGGTCGAGGTGGTCCTCCTGGACGTGCTTGAGGATGAGTCGCTTGAGGGCGGCCCTCATGCCGCTCTCCACTCTCCCCAGCCAGTCCTCCACGCCGTGGTGGGCCACCACAGTCTGCAACACCAACTCCGTCACACACCCACACATACTATAGGTGAGTACACACACCTAATCTATACTCTCACTTCCGTCAAGTAGTGTGACGCCTACACTCACGTATCAAAGAGCAGGCACCAGTCGGGGAGACTATGTACCATACTCACACTTATTGCAGCGCAACATTCTCACGCTTGAGGGGGACAATTAGTAACAGTCACAGTAGGCTCAGTGGGAGGCTTGAGTTGTTATGCTTCTGATGAGGTCATTCTAGTCCATCCATGATGCCTGTCGTGTCGTGAGCCCGGGCTGGCTGGCGAGCAACTGAAGAAATTGGTCAGTGGTGACCATGGTGGGTTCCGTGCGGGCAGTGTGTGTGTGTTGATCAGTGGTGACCAAGGTGGATTCCGTGAAGGAAAAGTGTATTGATCAGGTTTTAACCGAGACATCTCTCAGAAGACTGTACTGAGTTTATATTCTTTATGGACTTGGAAAAGCATTTAACAAAATTAATACAGGACTATGAAGAGTGAATGAGCGTGTGAGAAGTTGGCAGAAATCTGTTAAATGGTTCTAAGAAGTTACGAAAAAATACCGGACTTCAAGTGATTGTAAGTAAAAAAAAAAAAGAGATTTAAATATCAGGGATCTGAAGTTATGAGTATGTGAGGGAAGTAATGTTGCGAGATGAATAAAGGCCCTGGTCAGGAGGACCAGGACAGGCAAGGGGTGACAGTACCTACCCTTCTGTACGGCTCAAGAGGTGCTGGTGGGGCAGCACTAACAGTCACGAGTGAGACTGTAGCAACACATCAAGGTGCACTTGTGTTTGCAGGACGGAGCAAGGAATGAAAATAATAAGGTAAAATAAGAAATACAAAAGACAGAAAATCGTAAGAGTGAGGAGAGCTTACCGAGATGGTTTGGTCATACTGAACGAATGGATGAAAACATATTTGCCAAGTGTGTTCAAGTAAGAATGAAGGTGGCAGACACGGAGGAAGGGCAAGAGAAAGATGCAGACATTAGGCGTGGATCAAAGTGTGAACGCAGCTGTCAGGTGCTAAATGTCTGACATATTTGTTTATGGTTCGAATGATAACTCTGGGAGGTGCTTTACACCTGGCTATATGGAACAGCAGCTGCTTTGAATCATCAAAGTGTGGAAAGATGCACAATAATAATAATAACAGCGGCATGCATCCTCCTCTTCCTCCTGCTGCTGCTGCTGTTTGCCATTACTCTCTCTTCCAAGCTCATGTCTCCCGACCACAGGCAAGTGAGAAACGTGGAAGTAGTAGTGAGGAAGACGAGATACAAGTGTTGATACTATAATAAGGAATCATCAGTGTGGAAAGGTAAGTGTAGGCTACACTACATCAGAAGTTAAACGTGACACATTAATCTTGTGATAACAAGACCAAGAACCGTGGGGGCCACGTTACCTTAGCCAGCGTGAGGACTTCCTCCTGTGGCGACACAAGTGCCACTATCTTGCCATCCTTGCCATGCACCAGCCTCCCAATACCCGTGAAGAGCCTCCTCAAGTACTTGTGGCATACATCTGGCTCCTGCAGGTAAATGCACATTACTTATAACCACTGGCAGTGTCCCTCAGTGACTCCCGTTCTGCATGCTTCAATACTTCCCCGGAGGTGAGGGAAAACCATATACACTACTATAAGGCCATAGAAAATTATACTGAAGACGGCTTTTGAACCAGCTAATGATCCAACAAACTACATATATCTCATCTTTAAATAGTTCAAGACGAAAGTACCTACGTAAATAAGGTTCAGATCCTATACCTGGCCCTTCGTGAGCAGCTCGAGGAGGTCAGCGTCGGGCAAGAGAAAGAGTCTAGGGCACGTCTGCCTCCTCATGCCCAACAGTGGTGCTAGACACGCTCGCAAGCCCTCCAGCTGCGTCCTCTCCTGCAGCGCCTCTTCCTGCAGCATCCCGCCCCGCAGCTGCGGCAACACGCGTGGCTCCTCCTTCACTCTAAACGAGGGTAACAGATTAAGAACATAGCAAACAGGGCAAACTGAAGGCCTAATGGTCTATTCTAAGGTGAAGTCTCATGCCGTCTGTGATTAGCAATAATGTTTGTGTGACAGAGAAGTCTGATGTTGCATGACTGCAATGTTGCAAAGCAGTTCCTATATGTATAATATAATACATGGACATCTTTCACAACACTACCTGGTACCTGTATTTTGCGTCACAAGACGACGTGGTCGTGATGATATCTCACGACCAACGAGGCCTCATGGTCATTGTACAGGTCAGTTACTATACAGTGGTAGCCCAACAACGCCACCTTCCTCGTGATGGTTCAATAGATCAATGAACAATTTAAAGGAAGGTGCTAATGACGATCTTAAAGACGTGTTGCTATTTTTTCTTATATCTATAAGACATATAGATATGAAATGTCTTGTTAGTTTGTCTTCGAACCTTGTCTGTCCAAGGTTGGAAGCGAGATCCTTGGGGCTAGCCTCACCCACCTTTGCAGGGTGAATGGTCTCGAAACAGAAACAGGCTGGCCAGGTTGGCCCTATTGGTGTTATTAAGAGAGGATAAAGTCCAATAGTGAGGCCCTGCACCCCCACCAACCACAAAATCGGTGAAGGTGGCTGCAGGTGTCTCTTACCTCATTAGAAAGTGATGAACGTGAATTTAGTATTAAATGCAAATGTCTGCCTGTTTGAAGCTGCAGACCAGACGAGGAAGAGGGTTAAATAATCGGGGAGGAGGGTTAAATGGGGGAGATTTGAGGGAAGAGGGGGAAAGAAAAGGGAGAGGGGAAAGAGATAAACAGGGTAGGGAAGACTGGAGAAGAGGGCGACAAGAGACAAGGATGTGGAGAGAGGGAGAAATGAGGGTAGGGGTGGAGACAAACTATTCCGGGCTGTTACAACTAATATGAGTGGGGCTTCTATGGGGTACTGGTACTATTAAGGGGTAAAGGTAGTTAGAAGACAAGAGTATCAAATATGGGAGAGCTAAAAGGCCCGGCCCCCAAAATAAACTATCCACAGTAGTAATAACTTGCTACAAGACCATATATGTTAGTCTAAGGGTTGATCACTGCGCTCCCACCTTGGAAGAAGAGATACTCTGTAATTCAGTACTTATTTATTAACCCCTTAACAACCCCCCATATACACTCACACCAATAACAATAATAATAATAACTTTACCACACTATCTTACGTTAAAAGCCTTGGTCCACATAGACAGGATACAAGGTTTACACTAATAACAAGCTAGGGTAAAGTACTACTGGATAAGCACTGAAGCTGGATGCAGCTTAGGGTAGTGAGACCATGTGGTACCCTAATACAAAACACAACACTTAGGGTAAAAAAACACTGGCAAATACTAACCCCAGGTCTCACCAATAGTTACTACCAGAGTAGGTACACTTACTAATGCCCCGTACTTAGCTTAAGGATACAGGAACTTCAGGTAAGGGAAATAAGTAAGAGGAGAAGGGAGAAGAGTAGGGATACAGCCACAGAGTAGGTCTTATCCGCACGACACCAGCCAGAGAGAAGAGTGAGCTAGCGACCAGCTGCCTCCCTCATGTCGTAGTGCCGGAAGGAGCCTAATTGATCGTGCAGCTAAGCACATTAAAGATCTTCCCCTATGCAACGTATTGTTACTTTACGAATGATTAGAAAGTATTAGTAAGCAAAGTTGGTGCCTATGTTATTATTTAATAATCAACCCCCAGCTCAGTCTTTAAATGCTCTTTGAGAAACAATAATAGTCTTACGTCTGGCAGGGAAGATACAAACAATTGCCATTCGAAATGCGCCAACTGTACTACTAGGAAGTTTAATAGCTCAATTTTGACCTCTGGTTTCCACTGGAGAACCCAGGGTCGTAACACGGGCACCACCAGGGATCCCTTCTAGTCTATATCTATAAAGTGTGTGTATTTGTCTTAAGGTGAAGGCCAGACGCTTGGGGCTAAGTGAGTAAGTAATTGTCAGAGAAAGGCACCAAGAAGGGAAGGCTATGTAGCACCATCATATATGCTAGATATAAAAAAACGCTAAGAAACACTAAGGATGAAAATACGAGAACAAAAGAGCATAAGGCGAACAGATATCAAAGGTATCTGCTTCACCAAGTATTCTATCGAGGGACAAGTAACCGCGAGGGACGGTCGGGAAGCAAGACACGCGCACGTCCTGGAAGTCCGGATATTCAACAATGATATGCACGACTATAAGAAGGACAATGGAGTTTGGACAATAAGGAGCAGGACGGCGCTCCATTAAGTGCATCAACTTTATGTGTATGGCCAATACACAACCTTGCCAGAGTCGTTTCGCACCGCCAGTTACGGTGGTAGGAAGAAGGCCATGAGGACACGCTACCCTTAAGAGCACGCAGTTTGTTACCAGTAATAGAAGACCAACAACCCTGCCAATGGGCAAGGATTGAGGAATGATTAACTAGGTAAAAGTCGGAATAAGGAATACCTTTACAGGAAATGGGACAAGTGCGGATAGCCTCTTTAGCAGCAGCGTCAGCACGATCATTTAATGACACACCAATATGGCTGGGAACTCAGCAAAACTCCACTGTCTTAAATCAGCTGAAGATAAAAAAAACATCTAATTTTGAATTTCGACTACCACAGGATGAACTTTATTAGAGGACTCCAGAGCCATGAGGGCAATGCAAGAGTCCACTACAATAGCATAGGAAGATTGACAGCGAGAAAGTAGTTGACGAAGAGCATACAAAATTGCATAAAGACTTGCCATGAAGATTCTAGTCTCCAGGGGCAGGCGACACACACAAATGTAGTCAGGAAATACAATGCAGTAGCCTACATAGTCAGCAGACTTTGACCAATCTGTGAAGACGGAAATGGAGTGTGAAGAAAAGTGAGCAAGGAAAAGGCGGTTCATAACTGTTGGAGGGGTAAAAGCTTGTCATGTGAATCAAAGTTTTACAAAACGTAGGAAGGGGGGACCCTCCATGGGGGGCAAGGATAGAGTGACACAAGGAGAAATATTAGTAACACGAACCGAGAGAGAACCTTGCACGCAAGACAATGGGACAGAAATGGGAAGGTGGTAAAATGGAACAGGGCCAACAGGAAGGGTAATGGTCAAAGTACGACATATGCGAGAATGAGGATGTTGTAGGGACCTCGCAACGTAGCGAAGACAGTAGCGATCACCATGATCCTGTAGAGACAGAAGGCCGGTTTCAACATACAGGCTCAGGATAGGAGTCGAGCGAAAGGCACCAGAGCTGAGGCGTAACCCAGTATGGTGAAGAGCGTCAAGACGACGAAGAGTTGAGGGCGAGGTAGACGAGTAAGCAGGACAGCCATAATCGAGTTTAGACAGCACGAGAGAGGAATGTAGAACGGATATCGAATGTAGAAGAGTGTGCGCCTTTCAGCACCCCAGGAAGTATGGGACAAGAACGCAAGTAAGTTAACAGCACTTACGAAAGCCAAATTGAGAAGAGGAGAGGTGGTGATAGTGTTCCCAGGACCACATCAGACAGATATTGACCATTAAACTTTTAAAGCGTTTGTAGACAATTCATCAGAGCAGAAATCTTTAGGGGATGTCCCTAGAGATCCCCGATTTGTTAATAGGAAGAACAACCGCTTCAAACCAGTCCTGGCGACGACTCTTAGATACGGTTATAAATATTCCGTAAATACTGAAACGTGCACGGCAGGAAATGGCGAAGTATCTCATGATGAATGTCATCCGAACGCTGCCGAAGAACCGCACAGAGTCAGGGCAGACGATTTTTTTTTTTGGGGGGGGGGGGGGAAGAAAGAAAAAGAGAGAGAGAGAGCGAAAAAGAGAGAGAGAGCGAAAGAGAGAGAGAGCGAGAAAGAGAGAGAGAGCGAGAAAGAGAGAGAGAGCGAGAAAGAGAGAGAGAGCGAGAAAGAGAGAGAGAGCGAGAAAGAGAGTGCGCGCGGGATCCGGGTACCTCATCTAATACTATATAAAGGTGTAACATTTAATGGTCTTGCTTCTCCTATTATGTTAATTCCTGTCCTAATGTGGCTATTGCACCCAAACCTCTCACTGATGTCACGTAATACTAGTGAGGGAGACATGAGAAGGCACACCATACTACCTGGTCATGGTGAGGTGCCAGAAGGATGTACACCATACTACCTGGTCATGGTGAGGTGCCAGGAGGAGGCACACCATACTACCTGGTCATGGTGAGGTGCCAGAAGGATGTACACCATACTACCTGGTCATGGTGAGGTGCCAGAAGGATGTACACCATACTACCTGGTCATGGTGAGGTGCCAGGAGGAGGCACACCATACTACCTGGTCATGGTGAGGTGCCAGAAGGATGTACACCATACTACCTGGTCATGGTGAGGTGCCAGAAGGATGTACACCATACTACCTGGTCATGGTGAGGTGCCAGAAGGAGGCACACCATACTACCTGGTCATGGTGAGGTGCCAGAAGGTGGCACACCATACTACCTGGTCATGGTGAGGTGCCAGAAGGATGTACACCATACTACCTGGTCATGGTGAGGTGCCAGAAGGATGTACACCATACTACCTGGTCATGGTGAGGTGCCAGGAGGCACACCATACTACCTGGTCATGGTGAGGTGCCAGAAGGATGTACACCATACTACCTGGTCATGGTGAGGTGCCAGGAGGAGGCACACCATACTACCTGGTCATGGTGAGGTGCCAGAAGGTGGCACACCATACTACCTGGTCATGGTGAGGTGCCAGGAGGTGGCACACCATACTACCTGGTCATGGTGAGGTGCCAGAAGGTGGCACACCATACTACCTGGTCATGGTGAGGTGCCAGAAGGAGGCACACCATACTACCTGGTCATGGTGAGGTGCCAGAAGGTGGCACACCATACTACCTGGTCATGGTGAGGTGCCAGAAGGTGGCACACCTTACTACCTGGTCATGGTGAGGTGCCAGAAGGATGTACACCATACTACCTGGTCATGGTGAGGTGCCAGGAGGCGGCACACCATACTACCTGGTCATGGTGAGGTGCCAGGAGGAGGCACACCTTACTACCTGGTCATGGTGAGGTGCCAGGAGGAGGCACACCATACTACCTGGTCATGGTGAGGTGCCAGAAGGTGGAGACACCCGCGAAAACCGAGGCCTGGAGAGGGAAGACCTCTTGAGCGGTGCAGCTGCTGAGAACGGGGTCCAGAGCCACCCACTCCTCCTCCAGCTCCCTCAGAGCGGCCTGAAACAAATTTATCCTACACTTCTCCATCATAAACATGTAATAGTAAATGAATCTACTATTCCTTGCAATGGAATTTATTATTATATTAAAAATAAGAATCTATTAAGGGCAGTAAATGCCGAATCTTTGAATCCTTTGAAATTCGCACTGCGTAAGTGGCTTTAGACAATGTCTTACATTCGTCTTACCAACGAATCCTTCACTGTTCTTGTACCCTATATATGTACGTACTGTAAGTGATGATCATATTACCTCTTTCTTATATTTTCGAGCTTTAGCGTATTTAACGCCTCTAGTCTCTCCTCGGAACTCTTGTTTTTCAGTTCCGGAAGTCATTTGTAGCATGCCTTTGTATCTTTTCCAGTTTACTGATGTGCTTCTTAAGATTTGGGCACCATACAACTATTGCATATTCCAATTTTGTTCTCACAAAAGTCATGAACAGTTTTGTATTTCATCAGCCATATCATTAAAGCAAGTCTTAAGTTGGAAAGCGACGCATACGCTCCTCTCACAATGTTCTCTGTGTTCCTCTGGTGACAGTTTACTATCCAAAACCATCCCTAGATCTCGTTCTTTATTAGATATTACTCTCTCCTCACTGCTGTGTATTTGATTCTTGCTTGCTTGTAGTGCTGGTCCGTTTGAGGGTTTGGTCTCTTCCTATATTGTACCCATTTTCTTGTCTTTTCCTCTCTGGCCCTTTCATAATTTCTGCTGATCCAATCGTGTTTTCTGGTTTTGCATATCTTTTGGTATACGGTATATTTTTTGTATCTACATCATATAGTTTACAGAAATTTATATAAATCTCATTTATTTCCTTGCCTAGCAACTTTACAATTAAATTCATTACCCATTTCGGGCAAATCCATTGCCCGAAATGCTGTGCATATTAGTGGCTTTAGGTACTAGCTCCAACATTATGTTTGTAACTCATCTTCTATGTATGCACTTTTACCCGAATACACATTCTGATTTTGATTAAACAATTTGCTAAGTTTCCCCTTAATGTCCTCTCTTAAAATTTAGTTTGTCAATTATTTTAAATTTGTCATTCTCGTCTAAATTATATCGCATAGCATATCTAATTTTTAACAGGACAGGGTCACTCTTTTCCTTGGGAAGAAGGTACTGAATGTCAAATATCGCTTCTCTCTTCTTAATGACCATTGTTTCTCAACAATATTTTACAATTTCTTGGTATTCATAAGAACTTGTCATTTGCTTCACTCCATTCACTGTCCCCCTTAAAAGGGATGAATCTTACCATTTTACATATTTTCCTATTCTCCAAAAATCATTAACATTTTCCTTCACTGACCGGCCTTACCTAAACTATTTCCTCAGATTTTTTTTCTTCTGATGCTCTGTCCACCCTAGATGGTATCTCCTTTTCCAAACACCCAAAAATTATTACAGACTTACTTTATCTACAGTTCTGTACTAATTAGCCAATATCCAGCTCTTTTTCGAATTTCCTGCCTAATGTCGGATCCTGACTTCTCATTTCTGTTCTTGGCTTCCAAGCATACTTCCTTGATTGTCTCTTTTTACAACTTGCGTATATGTTTCTTAAATTTCCTCTACGCACCTTTCCAAACCTCTAGTAATTTTTTCCATTTGAGTTGCCCATGGATTTTCTTTTAGAAATTCCTTGCCTAACTATCTTTTGGTTGGTCTTAATTCTTGTCCATATCTTTTTGTTTATTTCTTCAAATCCATTTTCCTTTAATTTCCACATCTCATTCTTTCTTTAGTTTCCCGATTCCTTACTTGTTAGTGAAGATGGCAATTTCCTTATCCTGCTGCGACAAACTGTTTGATAATGTCTTTACCTGGCACTTGAGATCTTCGTCGTCTTGTTCTAAATTAAGAAAGTTTCCTTTATAAGCTTCTAGTAAAGCCTTAATCTTCACTAACCCACCTAGAAAACCACCTTTCTGTATTTGAGTAAAAACCTGTGAAGTCTGGCTCTTTTGCCATCTCTCCTGAGCCGGTCGGCCGAGCGGACAGCACGCTGGACTTGTGATCCTGTGGTCCTGGGTTCGATCCCAGGCGCCGGCGAGAAACAATGGGCAGAGTTTCTTTCACCCTATGCCCCTGTTACCTAGCAGTAAAATAGGTACCTGGGTGTTAGTCAGCTGTCACGGGCTGCTTCCTGGGGGTGGAGGCCTGGTCAAGGACCGGGCCGCGGGGACACTAAAGCCCCGAAATCAACTCAAGATAACCTCCTGACGATCGTGTCCCATCCACACCTGCCCCATCCGCCATCTTTGTTTTGATTTCGTCGGGTCCAGTTAGCTAAATGAATTGTGGGGTTCAGTCTCTGAGCCCATTATGTGCCTCTGTAACCCTTTCCACTACCGCCCACAAGATGGGTATGGGGTGTATAATAAACTAAACTAACTCCGGTTCAAAGACCCTGGGACAGTTTTTTTCCAGATTGCTATATATTTTTCACAACAATCGCCAGTGACCACCTTTTATCAATGATCTCGGGGCACTGATGGTATCGAGAACTTGCATAGCCCTCCCAACCACTATCACAAAGAACCTGCAGGAGTTCTAAAACTGTCATGAAGATGGTAACGTCCGGTGACCTCCCAGGACGTACGCGTGCGCATTTTAATATATTTTCTGCATAGCAAGTCACTAAACCAATATAATTATGTACAATACATCCCTACATACGTGACTTTCTGCAGATGAAACCATTTGTCTCTGTAATAAACAACATTTAAAGAATTCCTATTTTGTGTGAGGCTCTGTGACTGACCACTTCTCAGTTCTCAAATAAAGCCTTCAATATTGCAAGCTTGAAATTAATGGTCGCTTTATTTTCACCCCATTATACTAAGCAAAGTTGTTTCATTTACTGTAGTGGTCTTCCACATTTAATATCACAACAAATAATACGACAGATGCATATTACAATGTTATTAACGTCGAAATTATTGCCCTCTGGTGATGATAAACATCAGCATTTGAATATCCCAAGTTGCAATGTTCATGTACACTCATTTTACATTCTTAATTACATTCAACTACAAGAATGCAAGAACTCTTGTGTGTGTATATATATATAAAATAAAAAAATGTGTTCTTACCAGTGTCTGCCTGATGATTGTGTGGATGTTCTTCCACTTGATAGTCTCACTCTTGATGTGAAGAGCGTGCTGCGAGTGTAGCAGAAGGTGGAGCGTGAGGTCAGTGTGCAACAGAAGGGACTCAAGGTCGACCAGGTCTCCAAGCACATACATATCCTTCCTGGTGTACTCCACCACAGGAATGGTGGCCGCTTCCCAGCTCTCCTCCACCTAGAGGCACGAGAAGGGTATAGTGTCATGGCATTTTACCAGGGACTTAGGCAACTGTTATGGGCTGCATCCTGTGGAATGTCTGTCCTTGGCCTAAAGGAGTCTCGATATGCCTGATAGAGTCATCCTGTCCCCGTCAACATGGGAAACCATCTAGTGGTAGGAGGCAAATTTCCCTAACCTACCCTGAGAGTATTTACATTTTCTTTAAATTATTAACTCTATAAAGAAACGAAAATAATAGATGGTAAACTATACTATATTACCGCACTCACTTTCTTAAGGCGGTTCTCCATCTGCCGCTGGAGCTGGGCTGTGTGAGCCACTTGCTGCAGCGTGTGAGCGTGCTGGTGAAGGGCCATGTGATCTACATGAGCCAGGGTGAGAGCGGGAGGCAGCGGCTGACCCAGAGCTGCATCTATCTCCTGCCAATGTCTAGGACGAAGTGCAGAGTCTGTGAGAGCTTCAAGTACTGGCAGCTGAAAGAGTATGAAGAGCACATTAGTACACATAGGTACAGCATATCAGTATCTCACTTATTTTTAAACGAAATGCAAAATATTTATTACAAATTATGTATTTAAGCTAAATCTACAATATAATTCAATGCTTCATTTGAGAACAAATAATATTGTTAATGCATTAAAAGAAAGTCACCTATGGATGTCGACCAACAAATTTACACTAAACAGAGAAAAGACCTACATTTTATTTGGTAGTAAATCATCAAATCAGATTCAACTTCAGATATACAATGTAAACATTAACAATAAAAAATGAAGGCAGGTTCCTTGGCCTATACATAAACAAGACTGAATTTTAACACCAACATACAACACACAGCCAAAAAAGTCTAAAAAACGGTTGGTATACTTTCTAAAATCAGATATTATGTTCCCCGCTCTGCTCTCTTCTCATTATACTACGCAGTAATCTATTAGCATTTTACATACGGTATCTGTGCATGGGGTTCAACCACTGCAAATTACCTCAAGTCTATCATCAGTCAGCAAAATTCTGCTATCAGAACAATAACAAACTCTGTCTTCAGACAACACACAGTTCACCCCCATCCTGTTTAAGTCCCTTGACATGCTAAACATACATACACTCCACATATTCTCCTGTACTATCTCCATGTACAAAACCTAGTTCCTAAACGATGATCTAGATCTGAAACTATTCTTTGATAGTTGTAATAGAACTTATTAGCACCACACCAGAAATAATTATCTGATATCCCAAGGCTAAATCTGTGCAAGCACTCCATGCAAATAAAAGGACCCAGTCTTTGGAACTTGCTCCCCAATGAATTAAAAAAATTCCAACCTATAGTCTATTCAAAAGTAAAACAATAAAGTATCTAATTTCATCCTCAGTTTCCTACCTTCTGCTTCATTCAAATTGCATCTTGTACTGTCCACTTAGACCATGACTTGATTATAATTTACCAGTAGAACATAAGTTTACACAGTCGACATTTTAGATAACGATAGTCAATATTATTTGAGTGTGCAATCCCCGTGGCGCAGTGGTAAAACACTCGCCCTGCGCTTTGCGAACCCAGGCGATTTGAGGCCTGGGTTCGTATCCTGACCGGGGAGAAAGTCCATCTTTGGCTAACTGCTAACAAACTCGCCCTTAACATTGACAAAACTTTCTATATTTTGTTTGGTAACAAATCCTCAAATGAAATTGATCTAAGAATAAACAATATACAAATCGGTAATAAAGTTGATGGTAAATTCCTAGGTGTCCACATCGATAACAAGCTGAATTTCCAGGGACATATTCTAAATATAGCAAAAAAAGTTTCTAAAACTGTTGACATTCTTTCTAAGATGAGATATTATGTACCTCGTCCTGCCCTGGTGACGCTCTATTACTCTCTCATCTATCCTTATCTCAACTATGGTATTTGTGCTTGGGGTTCTACTACCCAAAATCATTTACGTCCTCTAATTACCCCATACAAAGCTGCTATTAGAACAATATCTAACTCTGGCCCCAGACAGCACTCGGTACCCTTACTCAAATCTCTGAATATGTTAGATATTAAGTCACTGCACATCCTCTCATGTGTACTCTATATATTTAAAACTATGAATTGTAATGTCAATCCTAACCTTAAAAGCTTCTTAGAAGATTGTAACAGAACCCATGAGCACCACACCAGAAACAAACACCTATTTGATATTCCAAGAGTACGACTTAATAAACTAGAAATGCTCTACAAATCAAGGGACCCAGAATGTGGAATGACCTTCCCAACCATGTCAAAGGCTGTGCCTCTCTCAACCAGTTTAAGATGAAAACTAAGTACTACCTAATTAACTCCATGTAACGTACCTTACCCCTAAATGTCAACTCATGTCTTACTATTTTTAAACAATGCTGTTTGTTGATCAATTTGTATATTGACTATTTTTTTCTACCATGTTTCCCCCCCCCCCTTTTTTTACTTTTATTTTTTTTCTTTCAACGCAATTTATACTTAAAGCTCAATTACTATTAAGTTTTAGTCTAAGTGTTTTTTTCCCCACCTCACCTTGCCCAAAACGCTATGCGTACTAGTGGCTTTAGGTATTGTATGTACTACCTCTATCTATAAATCCAACATTATGTTTGTAACTAATCCTCTATATATGTACTTTTATCTGAATAAACATTTGATTTGACTTGATTACGGACCTGCCCGAAACGTTATGCATGCAAGAGGCTTTACATCAATATAAGTATTCTTGTATATATAAATAAAAAAAAAAAATAATTAATTTTGTAATGCCTTTATATGAAATAATAAAATATTATTCGATACATGCAGACTATCTACAATATATTTCACTAACTTTAATATTCAAGCATAGTACATTTGTATAATGTTCAATAATATTCACTATAATGTTCAGTATCAATATAGGTGTAGTGACCTTCTCGTGGAGGTGGGAGACGAGGGCCTGCAGGTGGAGGAGGACGTCTGAGTGCTGTGTGGCGCCCATCAGGTAGTCAACCTTATCACGGTACTCCTGCGTCACCCGACTCACCTCACCCACGTCCAGAGTTCGCACTTCACTCTGCCACACACACACACGGGGGTAAGCACCACAATCACTACAATTTACTTAAATTCTACACTAAATACTGCAATTTACAAGGTTACAATTAAGCAATTAGTAACATGGCAACACACATGAGAAACACATTCTAGGCAGGACTATCTTTAATCTTTATCTTTAAAACTTTAAATCTTTATCTTCTTTAAAACTAACCATATAAGTGGGTTTGTGAGCTGCAACACAACTCAAATATACCACATGAGAAATAATGGTGATGGTGGTGGTGTGTAGTGGTTAAGAGTGGTCCAGGCTGGACACAGCTTACACTAGACTGGTGGCCGGGTGCTCACGCCTATTTCTATTGGCCGTCAAGTAATTACCTTTAAAGTACTACCAGCAATTACATACTTTTCCTTTATTTAAACGCTCAACTTACATTAAAGGTAATATTTTTGGTCACAGATGGAAGCTAAAATATCCATAGTACAAGATAATTTAAAGTTGATACTTTTTATATTAAATCGAAGATTTATAATTTATCTCTTAGTACCAACGTGAGAGCTCAGGTAACTACTGTAAGTAATTATCCAAAGAAAACCTTAGGCCCGGAAGGCTATATAGCACCGACACCATACACACTATAAATGCTACTGTATATGAAATTAAAGTCTAAACTTTAGTCAATTCTTCACCATATAATCTTCATGTACAATGTGGCGACTAGTCTAACGTTATGCAATACCGTGTGAGCCACTCACCTGGTACCAGCGCTCAGTGAGCTCTTCCCACTCAGACAGTGAGCGCCACAGTAGCATCTTAAGGGAGATCTCTTCCTCGACCTCTACTAGGTCCTTGAAGGGGCACACAGGCATCTGGAGAGGAACTACACTTCAGCATATCTTCCTAGTAAACAACAATGCTTGTTTACTAATATTCCACAAACACACACACACAATAGCCTATTATATATTAACATGTTACATATAATTACCTCAGACATAGGGTCAGGCAAGGTATGGATGTACATTATATATATTATTTAAATTAAGATGATTTGTAATTTCACCCGGTCAACTTAATCATTTTAAATTTAACAGAAAAAGCTAAACAAATTTAAATATTAGGCTTTTAAGCTTATAACAGATATGTTATTGAACAATGCAGTCAATAAATGGAAAACCTGGAATGTTGTTTGGTAGGTGGTGATTGTGGTGGCCTGAGCACGAATGGTTGAGGCTCGGGCATCAGCAGCCTCAAGCATCTTCAGCGCCTCCTCCCGGTCGCTCGTCACCCGCAGGAACCTAAGGGCCTAGAGAGATGCAAATGAATTTACTGGTCATTCATCCCCTGCCATCTTGCCAAGCTTCACAAGACTTGCTGCACAAGGCAGGAGGTCAACGCTGCCAGAGTGGCGTTACACACCTCACATTGCAAGTGACTAGCAGTGTTCGCCCAACACCTGCAAATACTCGTTTGTGTCGTGTGTTTGGCGGAAAGTTACTGTGGACCAAGACTAGCTCGGGGACGGGGACGAAGGGGGGGGGGGGCGAATTAGTAGTCCCTCAGAAGATGGAGAGTGACTAAAGATACTCGGCAGTCTAAACCCATCACAATCACTGAAGAACAGAAGCTCGTAATATTAAAGGGAATGTGATCAATTCACAACAATAATAACTTTTAAATTAAATTCAAGCGGATTTGGTCCCATAGTGGAATTGGAAAGCGAGACTTTGTAGATGGATTAACCAATATGAGTTGAACAGGTACGAAATACAGACTGTGCCTTTGAATATATAATGAAAGTATTAAAACATACAAATTAAAATTATTACTCGAGATTTAAAAACAGCAATAAACAACAAAGGACCTGAAACTTCAAGCATTAAAAAGTTATAACCACTTTGGAGATAAGTGGTATGGTGTGGACACCACCAACAGTAATGAACCCGCTAATGTGATATTATCGTTGCCCAAATCCTGCTCCTGACACATCTGGTAAGTTACCGAGGCTAACCAACCGCAATATTACACCTCTAAACTGTCATCAGCCCTTTATATATTCACTTCAACACTATAATACTAATAATAATAATAATATTTTATTAAGGAAAAGTACATACATTCAGTTACAAACTGTAAGAGAATGGTTTCTCAAGATTCTCCCACAGCAGACTCGAATGGCTCACTGCAGTGCACAGTGCACCGATCTTGTCCACAAGCCTATCTCTCTTAACCCTGGATAGTGACCTGGCATGTTGGGTATCTCCAGAATGCCCACTTAACCAGGAACACGGTTATAATACGGAGGCCACCATATGTCCAGGCAAGAAGTAGATACTGGGAAATTAAGCATACTTGCCACCAAGGGTCAATGAGTACATTGGCTGGTGCCCACGTGAGAGACAGTAGAGGGGAGACGCCAACGAGGCGACCGTCTGATCTCTGGGGTCAACCGGCGCGATGGAGAATAACAGCTATGACGTGGTCGTGACGTGTTCACGACGTCACCTTTGCTACTGATCAGGGTACGGTCAATATGATTGGTTCCCGCTCATTTGCTGCAATGCTATTAGTCAAATTGTAATCCCTTGTGTGTGCCCCACAAGATGCTCTGAGCCTCAGGAAAAAGCATTCTCGTGAGGAAGCTCTTGCATAGAGGACGTGTCCTGTTCTGTCTATCTCACCGTCCATTCCTCACCGTCAAGTTAACTCAGCGTCTTTTCGATATACCCACACTCGCTCAGAATCACGATTGTGAATATATTGTTCAGAAGCCTATAGTGACAAAATCACCAGAGCGAAACAGACTGGTATCAGGTAACCCCTGGTGACAAAGATCGTTGTGAGTGACCTAGAGTGAACTAAGGCAGTGCCGCCGCCTAAGTAACCTTTGTATGACTTTACCACAAGTGGACCGCATGGTACCATATAGTAACCTGCAGCGGCCAGCCACTCTGTCCCGAGCGTGTAGCCTCGACCGCCCGCCGCCGCCCTCACTGTACTACGTGACGTCACCACCTTACTCACCCCCAGTGCCAGTATGTGTGCGTGTGTCTGTCTGATAAGCATACAGCACACCCTACTGCGAGTACCCTCCATTTCTATGAGCAAAACCAACTATCAGGCCACCTACGAGTGCTTGTATAAATGTGCCCGAGTGAGAGTAAATAAGAGAGGTACCCCCATCTGTAAGTACAAGATCTTGTCATTGTTCTATTGTGTCTGTGTTGATCTGAGGTATCAACCATAGTTCTCACCTTATACCTGTCACAGGTTACAGGTGAATCGACGGTGAATGCGTGGTTATCTGTGTGGTATCACTGCATTTCACTCGTCTGTGAATGTGAGCTTCACATATACCACACATTTAGTTATTGTGTGACATTATTATTGTGCATGTTATTGCCTGTCCCATTAACAGTGCCATTGTGATTTATTGCATATCATTACCCGAGTATCCGGTTGGAACTCTTGTGATCCCTTTGCATACCGGCAGTTAGGTTGCCGTGTTAATGATTGGCTGTCAACTGTGTTAAGTTAGGTGTTTCTCCACGAGTGGATACGAGTCTATTAGCCAGACGTCAAGAGTCTCGCTAATGCAACCATAGCCTTTCTGACGCCAATCTAAAGTAAATCAAACTCTTTGTATTAGTAATTAAGTTAGTAAATAAACTACTGTTAAGCTTTATGCGGTGTTTCCGTTGAACCACTTCTGAATACTGCCAACATTACTCAAGCCTTCAGCTCCAGGTGTCTTCAACACCGAGTTGCCTATATTCACTAAACTATAAATGTGATGAGGACCCTAGGAGTCCCTTAAAAGTGTTAAATCATTAAGGAGATTCCAACGATCAACGTGGAGCAGGACCAGGTGAGGCTAGTCTTAGAAGAGACCCTCAAGGACTAACTCGACCTTGCTCCCAGGCCCTGTACGGTTGCTCTCGTATTTTCTATTCTGCTAATTCCGACAGCTTCGTGAAGCGTCTGCCACATGTACATTGGCGACGTACGCATTGCAGTCGTGAAAGCAAAAAAGAAAACCTCCACACAAACATTCTGATTTATTTATAGATAGAGCTAGTACAATACCTAAAGCCACTAGTACGCATAGCGTTTCGGGCAAAGGATTCAAAGGAAACTATTCTAATACATGCCAAACTCTGAAAGGTTTTAGACCTCTTGGCCTATTGCACAACCTCCTGGCCATCTGAACAACCTCTTGACCAACTGTGCAATTTCTGGATTACTGTACAACCGCCTGGTCTGCTCTACAACCTTCTGGCCTGCTCTACAACCTCCCGGCCTCCTCCACAACCGCCCGGCCTCCTCCACAACCGCCCGGCCTCCTCCACAACCGCCCGGCCTCCTCCACAACCGCCCGGCCTGCCTACAACCGCCCGGCCTGCTCTACAACCGACCCGGCCTGCTCTACAACCGACCCGGCCTGCCCGGCCTGCTCTACAACCGCCCGGCCTGCTCTACAACCGCCCGGCCTGCTCTACAACCGCCCGGCCTGCTCTACAACCGCCCGGCCTGCTCTACAACCGCCCGGCCTGCTCTACAACCGCCCGGCCTGCTCTACAACCTCCCGGCCTGCTCTACAACCTCCCGGCCTACTCTACAACCAGAGACAGACAGAGACAGACAAACAACAAAAAGACAGACAGAAAACAGAGACAGAAAACAAAAACAGAGACAGACAGACAACAGAGACAAACAGATAAAAGAAAGAGACAGACAGACAAGACAGTCAGACGCACCTGGACCTGCTCTGCAAGTTTCGCCGTCTCGGCGTCCACCTCCTCCATCTCCTTGTCCAGCAGTTGCTTCAACTTGCGAATGGATGTGGGCCGCTCCATGAGGCCCCGCCGCACAGACTTCCTCAGACGCTTCACCTCCTTCTGCAGCGCCTCATACTTGTTGTGTACCTGCAACCATCACCACCTTCATAACACCACAATACAACAAACTGGATTACAAGGTTCACACAAACTGAAAATTACTGTTAAAAAACAGGCATAAACTACTATTAATATCAATGTCTTCTGTAGCTATGAATACTAATTAAATAGTCCAAACACAGCATTCTAATGAAAATAGTAATAACTTAACATAGTAAATGTGAACTTGTGCTTGCCAAAAGTTAAAACCAGACAGAGGTGCATCATTGTTGGGCATTATATACTTTTTTTATATTGAATTATGTTAAAAAAAACAAGTGATAAGTGTGCCTGCTTGTAGTAGTTGGTATAGTTCTAATTATGAATCCCGTTCAGTATTGTCTAATGTAACACACAAAAAATCAATGTACTTATGATCAGAAAGCATAATTATATACACATCTAAAATATATTAATACAAAGAGGATTTCGTGTTTATTTTTTCGTCTTTCCGTGTATTATTTTCCGTTACAGGTGGCAGAATCTTTGACTTCTTTTTTTTTTCAAGTAAATCATTTACAACATAAAGGTGACTACTCTCATTTACAAATCAATTTACATGAAACTTACACATTATATGAAGAGTTTCTGCCTCTACAATTTTTTCTAAGTCTATTTATTAATTAAAAGAGTAATTATAAACATCGTATTGTTCCATAATTAAACGAGGGATTTTGAACATTTTTTTATAGTAGAACTAAACATATTTTGGATAATAATGAAAATACTGTTACGATAATCTCCTGCTTAGGCAAGGAGATCCTGCCTATTCCTTTACCGCCTATTCAACAGCATATCTGCATACTCAAGTATAAGAAATCAACAACAACAATACATGCTCAGAAGCCAGTGTCTAAACAAGATACCACCCCCCCCCCCTCCACCCCTCAAGTACCCGACACCTGAACACCTGTCTGGGGCCCAGCGCCACTCACCAGTCGACCAGCCCTTAACTACTTACACACAGAGATCACACTAACGTGATGCATCCAATGAACAAATCCACAAGGGCCGTGACGAGGATTCGAACCTGCGTCCGGGAACATCCCAGACACTGCCTTAATCGACTGACCTACGACAGGGTTGTCGTAGCTCAGTCGATTAAGGCAGTGTCTGGGATGCTCCCGGACGCAGGTTCGAATCCTCGTCACGGCCCTTGTGGATTTGTTCCTTAATTACTTGTTTGAGACTGACGGCGATAGTTACCTGCTCATCAGCGCCATCTACACTAGCCTGGCCCGCCTATATAAGTAAGTTATTATCAAAAGAAGGCACCAAACCGGGAAGGCTATGTAGCACCATAAAATGAGCGGAATAATCAGAGGGCGCTAAATATCACCAAGGATGTCAATACAAGAACAGGAAACGCATAAGGCAAACGATTAGTATCCGATTCACTAAGAATTCTATCGAGGGACAAGCGACCGCAAGGGACGGTCAGAAAGCAAGACACTCATCCTGGAAGTCGGGACATTCAACAAGTATATGCACGATCGTAAGAGGGACAATGCAATTTGGACAATAAGGAGCAGGGTGGCACTCCATTAAGTGACCGTGAGTTAAGCATGTATGGCCAATATACAACCTCACCAGAGCCATTTCCCATCGCCGGTTACAGTGGTAGGAGGAAGGCCATGAGGACACACAACCCTTAAGAGTATGCAGTTTGTTACCAGTAACAAAAGACCAACAACCCTGCCATCGGGTAAGGATGGAGGAATGAATAACTGGGTAAAAGTCGGATTAAGGAATACCTTTATGAGAGATGGAACAAGAGTGGACAGCTTCCCTAGCGGCAGCATCTGCACGCTCATTTAAAGACACCAATATGGCTGGGAACCCAGCAAAACTCAACTGATTTAAATTTACTGGAAATAAGAAACAGCCAATGATGAATCTCAACGACCACTGGATGGACCAGATTAAAGGACTCCAGAGCCATGAGGGCACTATGAGAGTCAACGAGAACCCCAAAAGAAGATTGACAATGAGAAAGCAGAAGACGAAGAACATAGAGAATACATAAAGTTCCACTGTGAAGATGCTAGTCTCCAGGAGGTAGGCGACATATATAAGTGCGGTTAGGAAAAACAACAGAGTAGCCTACACCGTCTGCAGACTTATACCCATCAGTGCATATGGAAACAGAGCGGGAGTGCAAAGCAAGGAAGAGGTGTTTCTGAACCATAGGAGGGGTAAAAGCTTAAGTGATGTGGGTCAAGGATGTACAAAACTTCGGAAGGGAGACTCTCCACAGGGGCAAGGAAGGAACAATACGAGGAGAAATATTAGAAATACGAACTGAAAGAGAATCTGTCAACGAGATAACCGGACAGAAAGAAGGTGGCGGTGAAGAGGAACAGGAACCATCAATCGCAAGTTGAAGCCGCCATTGAAGTAGAGGCGAATCACCACCCTGACAGCAATGGGTAAAATTGTCGACATAGAGCGGAGAAGATGCCAGAAGGAAAAGAGGAAAGAAGACCTTTGAGGGCAACCAGAAAAAAGAGTAGTGCTCAGAACACTACCTTGGGGCACACCCTCGAATTGCTGAAAAGAGGCAGAGAGAGTGAGGCACCAAGCCTCACTCGAAAGGAACGATGAGAGAGGAAGCTTTGGAGAAAGAGAGGGACACTGCCACGAAGGCCAAAAGAATGAAGTTGGGACAGAATATAATACCGCCAGGTGGTGTCGTAAGCCTTTTCCAGGTCAAAAAGGACGGCAACAACGGAGATCTTCTCAGCAAAAGCAGTACGAATATAGACCTCCACGTTCACCAGGATATCTGTTGTACTGCGGCACTAGCGAAAACCAAATTGAGAAGGGGAGAGGTAGTGATAGTGTTCTAGAAACCACATCAGACGAACGTTAACCATACGTTCAAAGAGTTTGCAGACAACTCATGAGGGCAATAGGGCGGGAGTCCTTAGAGGATGTCCCAGGAGACCCTGGTTTCCGAACAGGGAGGATATCGGCATCGAGCCAGTCCTCAGGGACTGACAACAACTTCCAGACCCGATTATACAGACTCAGTAAATACAAGGACGTGAACGGAGGGAGATGCTTCAATGGCGAAGCATCTCGTAATGAATGTCATCAGAGCCCGTTGCCGTAGAACCGCAGAGAGCCAGGGCAGATTGAAGTTCAGAGAGAGAGAGAGAGAGAAAGGGATCGTTATACAGAAGTCTAAGATGGGTGCAGAAATCTAAAGGACGAACTTCAAGAACAGGTTTACCAAGAAGGAAAGATTGAGGAAGATGAGAACCAGAGCTAACAGAAGAAAAGTGGGAACCCAGTTCGTTCACGACCTGCGACGGGTCCGCCACAAGAGAACCACGGATGTGAAGGACCGACGAGACATCGGGAATGAACTTACCCACTATCTTGCGGATATGCTTCCAGATCTGCAGCAGAGTAGTTTCAGACATAATGGTGGAAACATAAGACTTCCAACACTCACGCTCAGATGTATGGATGGCCCTACGGGCCACCTCGCTTGCCTTCCGAAACAATAGAAAAGAATCAGCCGTCTGCCAGCGGCGGTCTCTCTTCCAGGCTGCATGCTTACAGCGGATAGTACGAGCACAGTCCGCATTCCACCAGGGAACGCACTTCTGTGTGCCCCGAGAGGAAGAGCGAGGAATAGAGCGGAGCGCAGCGTCGAAGATGGTGTCATGAAAAATGAGGAGGGCGCGAGGGAGAGGCAGAACGGAGAGGTCAGAGAGAGCAGCATGAAGGGCAAATAGGTTTCAATCTGCCTTGGCAAACTGCCACCTGGGGAAGGAGAGGGGAGGGTGAAAAGAGAAAAAGATAACAAGGATGGGGAAATGGTCACTGTCATGGAGGTCATCAAGAACCCGCCACGTGTAGTCCAAGTAAAGAGACAACAAGCAGAGAGGAAAATCAAGACAGGAAAGGGTGCGAGTCCAAGAGTCCAAAAGAGTGGGCTCACCAGAATTTAGAAGACACAGCATAGAAGAGAGGATGAAAAGTTCGAGAATGCGACCTCAGGTGTTCATCAGAACATCACCCCAGAGGGTATGCCAACAATTGAAATCACCCAGCAGGAGCACAGACGCCGGCAAGGAGTCCAGTAGATGTTTAAGATCAGGAAGAGAAAGCGGGACATTTGGGGGGAGATAAAGAGAAAAACCGTGTACCATTTACGCAAGAAAGACATGCAACAGAACATTGGAGAAGCGACGGAAAAAGTAGGGGGACGAAGGGAACATCAGAACGAATCAAGACAACAGATTAGAAATGGGCCCCAGCAAAAGCTGGGGGGGGGGGAAGTGGAGAAAGGAATAACCACAGAAAGTGACCAGGACGATCAACAAGCATCGGCTCCTGGAGACAGACACAAAGGGGCGAAAACTGTGAAATCAGAAGTTAGAGTTCATGGAAATTGGCGTAATATCCCCGAATATTCCATTGAAGAAGAAAAAGGACAGCAACAGAGAACAATGAAGAAACAAAGATGAAAAAGAAACACAGCACGATAAAGAAGTGCAGAATCAGGATCAGCGAAGTCAGGGGGCATGGGTAAACTGAGTAACGATGGAGAGAAGGGAGTGGGAGGACAGACCAGAGGTGGACGAGTAGGGATCCGGAGGAGGAGGAGGAAGGGGGCACAACCAAGGGTCAAGGACAGCAGTAGCAGGAGGAGCAGAAACCGGGGAGTGCACCTCAACAAGGGCAGCAACCGAGAGGGAAGCGGGGCCCAAAGAAACCTCCATAGCAAGAAACAGGGGACCAACGAAACAGGAGGGGATGGAGCGAGTGTGTCAGAGGTAGGGGGGGCGAGGAAGAAAGCAAAGCCTTCTTACCCACCGGGGAGGAGGAAGGAGATGAGCCAGGGTTACGCTTCTGACACAAAGAGACAGGCGTTCCAGCAACAATGTACTGGGCAACAGACTTGAGCGTCTCAACAGAAGAAGAACGAGAGCAAACAACACGATGACCGCTGGGAGAGTGATGGACATCAGCCC